CCTCAAATAAGGCAGAAAAGGAGAAATGCAGTGGGTGGGGGGGAAGCAAAAATAGAAGAGATGAATAGAAAACTAATAATGAAATATGAGCCTCAAACTCAATCCTGTTAATGATATTTAATGACAGCAGAGTAAACACTCCAATTAAAAGGCAAAGGCTGTTACGCCAAATAAGAAAGCATAAGCCACGGTGTCTAACTAAAGAGACACCTTCAATGCTTGGCAGTGACCGGAGACAAACTCTTTCCAGGTGCACATGGAAAGCTCACTAAGGTCTCCCATCCAAGTACTAACCAGGCCTGACCCTGCTTAGCTTGTGAGATCCGGCGCATTCAGGGTGGTATGGCCGTAGACAAACCCTCACTAAGGTAAGTGCTTGTGTTTTTTCCAATGCTGGGGACTGAGCCCAGGGCTTCAAGTGCACTCCTAGCCCCTCTCTTTTTAAATAGTGGTCATCCTAACATGCACAGGTAGTATCTTGTAATTTTGATTTACATTTCCTTAAGATCAGGGATGTTGAATTTCTTTGATGCTGTTTTTGTTCTTTGAGACAGGGTCTCACTCTGTAGTCCAGGCTGGCCTCAAGCTCACTATGGAGCCCAGGCTGCCCTTGAACTCCTGGCAATCCTCCTGCCTCAGCCTCCCAAGTGCTGAGATGACAGGCGTGAGCCACCATGCCTGGAATGATGCTGAATATTTTTTTGCTTTTGTGAGTGTGTGTGTATGTGTGTGTGTGTGTTACCAGAGATCAAACCCAGGGGCATTCTGTTCCACCACTGAGCTACATCCCCAGACTTTTTTTAATTTTTTGAAACAAAAATCGTGTGAAATTTCCCAGGTGAGGCCTGAACTTGCAATCCTCCTGCCTCAGCCTCCCGAAGCACTGGAACTATAGGCAGGTACCACCTTGTCCAGTTGGCATATCTTCAAGTCTCTGTCCCTCATACACACACTTTTTTTTTTTTTTTTTTCAGTTCTGAAGCATGTAAGCAGGCCTTATGCATGGTAGGCAAGCACTCTGTCCCGGAGCTAAACCCCAGTCCCTGCCCATATTTTAATTGAGCTTTTGTGGTTGAATTATTCCGGGGGGTTGATTTTTTATTTTATTTATTTATTTATTTATCTATTT